AACCTTATTTCTTTGTTTTCTTCTTATTTTCTTAAAATATACTAAGAGATCCACCAAAATACAATATTAAATCCATACTCTTTTTATAAATCAGTTAGCAGGTGGGATTTTTCAGTGGCATCGATATCCAGATCTCAAGTACCCTAAGTACTGTCATCACAAAATCCTTATTTACTTCCCTTAGTAGAGGCTCAGGCTTTAAATTTGAATATCCCCTGTCATCTAGTCCTGCAGAATTCCAACTAGAAAATGGTAACTCTTGCAAACCGGAAAGAATATGGAAATTTTGTGAAAGATCCTATTTTAGCTAAATCTCAGCTGCTAGCATTAATAACTACAAAAAAAAAAAATCATTTGTTTCACTATCTGTCTAAAAATCTTGTAAGCAAATAGAAGAGAGCTTAAAAAAGAACAATCATATTCATGTCTGTGTGTAAATATGTGCATTTAGTGTGTTCTTTGGGAGAGGTAGCATTGAAAAATTTCTTTGTTGCACCTAATGCACACTGAACTCCTATGTAATTTCTATCTCTGAATTGCTGAATCAGTGAGTTTTGCCTGTGTGAGAAGTACAGAATATTGACCAATGCCTAAAGAAATTTCAGTAGTATGTAAAGATGTTAAGCATGTTATACACAACTACTTTTTTCATCTTAATGTAAGTTTTGTTCACACTTCTCATATAGTAGAACGCAGTGTAGGATAAAGTATTCATGAAAAGGATTAGGCAAAATTTATTTAATCTGTACAGAGACATTTTTAATTGTTGTCTAAAATCTGCTCAAGGTAGAGTGAATTAAGCTTTATTTAATGTAATCTGTTCAAAGGCTATCTGCAGAATCATCGTGTACTAATTTCCACTGTGTTGCTACCAGAAAAAAAAAATGTTGGTGCTCTTTGAAGTCTGAAAGAGGTGATTCATGAATCAGGAAGTCAAGTTACAAAGGGCAGAGCAGTGTCTGTTTTGTCATCTTTTATTTTTTTTCCTTTTCTTTACTCCTACTGATAGCTGCAGGTATTGTTTGTAGAACACTTGAGACTTCCAGAACGTAATGGGTAAATCACACTAGTCAAGAAAATTAGGAAATTGTGTACTAAGAGCCCATCAAAGTGGATTTCTGTAGTCTTAAGTGTCTTACCGTGTACATTTAGATTTGAGTTATAACTAATTCTTATTTTACTTCTGCTTACGTTAAAAATGTCATATATTATTTAGGTGACTTTTTTTTTTTTAACCCTTTGTCGTGGTTTAACCCCAACCAGTAACTAAGCACCACGCAGCCGCTCACTCACTCCCCCTACCCCAATGAGATGAGGGAGAGAATCGGAGGAGTGAGAAACACTCCTGGGTTGAGATAAGAACAGTTTAATAATTGAAATAAAGTAAAATAGTAGTAGTTATAATAACAATAACAGTAATAACAATATACAAAGCAAGTGATGCACAATGCAATTGCTCACCACCTGCCAACTGATACCCAGACAGCTCCCAAGTAGTGCTTGCTCCCCCCAGCCAACTCCCCCCAGTTTATATACTGAGCATGACATCATATGGTATGGAATAGCTCTTTGGTCAGTTTGGATCAACTCTTCTGGCTGTGCCCCCTCCCAGTTTCTTGTGCCCCTGGCAGGGCATGGGAAGCTGAAAAGTCCTTGACTAGCATGAGCAGTACTTAGCAACAACTAAAACATCAGTGTGTTACCAATATTCTTCTCCTACTAAATCCCAAACACAGCACTATGCCTGCTACTAGGAAGAAAATTTAACTCTATCCCAGCTGAAATCAGGACACCCTTCTGTACTCAAGCCATTACATTGCAACTGCTGGTCAGAAAGGGTTGTGGAAGGCTGCTTGATGTGGAAAGCTGCAAGCCACCCAGTGTAGTGGTTCCCAGGAACCACCAGTCCATTTTTCTTTTCCTCAGGGAAGAGGCACAAAAGGCTGGGGAAGAGGTGGGGCAACAGAGGCACTCTCCTGTGTGAAACATGCAAAAGATTTTTTTATTCAGTTTTGTTTCACATTGAAGTGAAACAGATTTCTCAAATGTGTTATTTGGGACAGAAAGGAAGTGTGAGGTGAAGGGGAAGAAGGAGGGGTCGTAACCCTAGAATACCAGCAGGCTGCTGACTGCAGTGTTTGCATGAACATTGATTCACTTAAAGTATCTGCACTAAGGAGAGTTCAGTGTTCTGACTTCAGACAGCATAAATTTGAACAGGAATCTCTCTCATCCATGTGAGTGCTGTAACTCAGGAAACAGGAATTCAAGGGTCTCCTTACTCCCTCACATTTTGAAAAGAAACACTACTCTAGATTGTCTAGTTCGCTTGCTTGCCAACGGCAAATTAGCAAGTGTACTCAATGTTACGCTCTGAAAATACAGAACTATAAAACATGTATCCATCCTTAATTTATAAAAAGAAGTAAAAATTGTTTGGGACTTTAATGAAAAATGTGCTATTTTTTAGCATTGTTTAAACCTCTGAGTAATGATTTGAAGCAATCTTACCTTTTTGGAACATGTTGTGGTGAACGCAGGACTATCCAGCTGTTGCAAACTTAGTTTCTGTCATACATTTATAGAAGATACTATGGAAGATCTTTCAAAACTGTAAATGCCTAGATTATTTTTGGGAAGAGGAGTCATTGTTTTGTTTGGAAGGGTATACATTTCCAGTATATGGAAGTCTGATTTTCATTCATATATCCTCAAAGCAAACGGAGGTGCATGCATTACATTATGCTTTCATACCATTTTTTCAGAAATCTATTTTTATCTCAGCTTCATTCACTTTTCATCTTTATAGAATCTTTGGTGTATACATTTATGAATTATTTTAATCTCACAGATTTTCAAAGCTATATGGTACAACTTACAAATGCTCTTTAATATGAGGAGTTTACTTTGTATCTCTGCAGATTTGATTCGGAACATAAGACTTGTCTGTCTTTTGTAGCTTTTTTTTTTATATTTGTTTTAGAATTACATTCAAAAGTGAGATGATTAACAGCAAATTTGTTTAAGTTTGATTGTTATGACTGTGAATAGGAGATTGTCTCATATTGGGCAGATGATAGCCAAGCTGTAAGAGGCTGGTAAATAGGCATTGCATCAACTGGCAGGGCAGTTTGACCATCTGATCAGGCGGACAAGCAGTAACTGTAAATGGGAAGCTACCTAATTAACGGTTTTTACAGCAAAAGTTTTCAGTCCACCTCACTGTCTGCTTACCTTGGCACTATCTGCCCAAAATTTTATCAGTAACGATTTTACGGGAGACAGTGTTGAAAACCATAGAATCATAGAATCATAGAATCATAGAATCATCTAGGTTGGAAAAGACCTTTAAGATCATCCAGTCCAACCATTAACCTACACTACCAAGCCCACTCTAGACTAATCAAGGGTAGACCAGACTAAACCATATCCCGAAGTGCCACATCTACCCGTTTTTTAAACGCCTCCAGGGATGGTGACTCCACCACCTCTCTGGGCAGCCTGTTCCAATGCCTGACCACCCTTTCCGTAAAGAAATTTTTCCTAATTTCCAACCTAAACCTCCCCTGGCGCAGCTTAAGCCCATTTCCTCTTGTCCTATCGCTAGCTACTTGGGAGAAGAGACCAACACCCACCTCACTACAACCTCCTTTCAGGTAGTTGTAGAGAGCGATAAGGTCTCCCCTCAGCCTCCTCTTTTCCAGGCTAAACAACCCTGGTGAAGTCAAGGTAAATGATACTCACTGCTTTCCCCTCATCCACTCAACCAGTCATCTCAAGGCGATCAGGTTGGTTACATACAGTTTCCCCTTAATAAATCCATGCTGACTACTACCGGATCGGCTTCCTGCCTTTTGTGTGTTTGGAAAGGGTTTCCAGGAGTGTTCATCCTATACAAACTTGTAAATGGTGGGCACGTATTTTTATTCTCATATGTTTGTGTGTGTGTATACACATGTGAGCTGGCTGGAGGAGTAAACTAGATTGTTAATAGGATGTGGTGGTCTGCTTTTGAGTGGTTGAGACATGGTAGTTATTCTTAGACACACAAATTTGGGTCAGAGTATCCTTTTGTCAGTCAAAAATACTCATCTACAAAGAGATACTGAATATTAATGTTGTAGCGGTATTTGTATATATAATTTATATAAAAATATAAATCATACTCATTCTATTGAATGTATACTAATTTTATTTGAAAGAACTCTGATACATTTATATATAAAAATCATAACTTCTTCTAGTAGTGTTTTACAAAATAATGTCATATTTACTTTGTAGAGCAGTATGTTTCATTACATAATGGCTATACATTTCCATTTCAGGGAACAAAGAAAACAGTTTTAATTTTTTTTAATAAAAAACTGTGGCAAAAAAAATATTACTAATAATTATTCTCATGTGAGTTCACATCACTCCTCCTGTGGTTCAAGAGAAATGCCTTGGTTACAGCTTGTTAAACAACAATATGAAAGTGAATTGTCTGAATTTGAGAATATAGTGTATCTTCTATCAGTTAGCATTTAATCAAGTTTCTTCCTGATAACTCTATTGACAGAAAGCTCCAGTATAGCTTTTAGCTTGCTCATGCATTTGAATTTCAAAGAATTCATTTGTTCATTTGTCTACCTGTGACAAACAGTTACTGTATGTGCGGGGTAGTCACCCACTTTCTATGATGGCAGATGGGTACGATGACAGCTGATGCTGAAAAGCTGCCTCCTGGGGAATTCACACTCTTGGAGGAGTTTGTTCATGTGACAGTTTCCTGTAGTGCTAATCTTTTGAGAAAACAAAGTTTCTAGGTAATGGATGTGGATTTCTCATATATCTCGTATGTATGTAATTAACAGAATTTTAAATTCTAAAATTTTGACTTTTACCTTTTTTTTCCTTTAAATTTTAGTATGTAAATCCCATTTCTATTTAAGACAATTGTTTGGGGTGAAAAAGATGGAGACTTATTTTGAAAGATTAAATTTACTATTATTTCTCTTTAGTTTCAGGCACTGCATGCTGTATCACACACGCTGGTTTTGCTAGGAAAGAACAACATACTAAGAAATTCTTTAATATCTCTTCTCCTATCAGAAGTACGTCAGTTTGCGGAGCACCTGTTGCGAGCTCATCAGGTACTGTCATCTTTTCTTCTGGAGAAGGGCCGAAGAGTAGTATTGGGGAGTGTTTTTTCTGTATCTGTTTGTTTCATAAAATGTAATAAATGGATCGTTCCATAGAATACGCAGGTTTAAGAACCCAGAAAATGCTAGTGCCTAACTTTAACAGTAGATTAAAAAAAAAGTTATATAAAGTAAAAGAAAACTTCCATATGGACAAAAGTAAAATTATCAGACTGTGTAATAAATAGACTGTGTAGGTTTTAACATTATGCTATGTAATTTGGAAAATACTTGAAATAATTAGTTAAAACAATTACTGCAATGTATAAGTTGTGGGCTATGCAGGCAATACAACTTAGGTATCCAGCTGGACCCACAAAGGATTACATAAATTATGTTTTAGCTCATGTAAAACTAGAAAAAAAGTTACATTATTTTATTTCAGAATTAGATTTTATTTCAGAATTAGATTTCAGAAAGGCCAGTTTTGAAAGTATTAGACAATGAGCTGTGTCTTATTTTAAGTCACTAGTAGCATACCAGAGTTACTGATGGCAGCCAAAAGCGAACAGAAGACTTTAAGCAAATGTGAGGATAGGGAAGTGTGTAATTAAAAAAAGTTTTGTTATTTAAGTTTAAACAAGTTGCTTATTCTAAACATTATTAAATCTCACCTGCTTAACAAAATTAGTCATCCCTCCTTTCAGCAGAGTTTCTGCCAGTGGCAACACAGAACTCTCCAGTGCTCCATGCTGATGAAAAGCTTATATTGAGCATTGCACTTTGCTGAGCTAGTTACTGTAGTACTACTTAACCTTCCTGTACTGTAATTATTCTAAGTATTGCTTTTGTATTTAGTACATTAGAAATTTATTTCTAAAAATTTCTAAAATAAGTTTGACTCTTCTTTGGCTTCATTTTATGTTTGAAAGAATCATATATTTGATTTTAAGATCATAAGAAGAGAGACTACAAAACTGTATAACTTGCAGTTGAGAAAATGGAAGTAAATTAGTATCCTTGGATTTTAACCATAAATTCTCTTTAACTACACAAGTGATTTTGATTTTTCTAATGGCAAATTATTTTATTACTGGCAGTGTACTTTGTATATTTATGGGAAGACAGTAGAAGATTTGGTTCATATATAAATACAGAGAAGTTGGTAATTTAATCCCTGAACAATTCTTATACCGCAGCTGGTATAATAAATTGTTTAAATGCCAGTCTTACTAGGGTGGCTTGATACCCCTAGTTGATGTGTACAGTAGTTTTCCTTTTTTTAACCTCTGGGAAAGCCATCACTCTTCTTGATTGTTCTCCCCTCCACCCCCCCCACTCCCTGTCAAGAAATGGAAACCTTCAATTGTACTTCCTGGAACAACTGAAGAAAGTTGTATCTAGCACTGAAGGGAAGGTGCCTGTGGAGTGGGAAACAATTTCCAGGGGGACAAGGACTTGTACTCCTTTATTGAAAAGAAAAAATAAAGATGTTTTTGATCTTGTAAATTTATTCTGTTTCTTCATACTTAGTATATGTGGACTGAAATTTGGGATGGTAAAATGCATTTGCTACTTGATCTTTTCAGCTTCAGGACCAAATCCTTTTTCAGGTTAAGTCTTTTCTACCTGCAGCCCTCCATCTGTCTCATTTTAATAACCTTTCATGTGTGCTTGCTGCAAATCTTACCCATTATCAGTCCACAGTACTGATTTTCAGACTTTCTACTACCAAGAGCCTTGAAATGCCTCTCATCTTTACAAGTGGGGAAACGTATGCTTATTATTGTACAACAGGAAACACAGAAAGACTTCTTGATTAATAAGGTTCCCTTTCACCTTTTTTTTTAAACAACCCTTTCTGTTCACCCAGAGAAATAATTTAATTCTCTCATATTCAAGAATTTAGAGCCATGTTTACATAAGGAGAGTTTCCTGCTCTGCTTCTGCTTCCTCCTACTAAGTTGTCAGTCTGCCTTCTGCTACTGAAATGTGGTAGACACGCTTTTTTTCTTTTTAACTGATACAGTTATTTATTTATATTTTCTTTATCCAGCATTATGGGTGTTTCTTGGAAGGTTAATGCATCTTGATCAACCAACCACAAACCGTGGTCTGGAATAGGACCTTCATATAATCTTACCAAAGCTTATGGGGCTTTCTTTTGAGTCCTTTTAAAACACCTTGTGTTTAAGTGACCATCAAAAAAATAAGTGAGCTTCAGGCACTTAAGTAGAGACTCCAGTGACTAATTTTACAATGACAAAGTAGTCTTGAAATGTTCACCCCCCAACACAGTGTTGGACTTTTTGTGGGAATAAGGGAAGGTTCAAGGTGGCTGAATTTGAAGCCGCAGGAGCTGTGCATCTATCTGTAGCTGACACTTTATAGGACTACAAGATTTTGAAAAGCTGCAGTTCAGGTAGGAAAAGTAACTGAAGTTGTGGTTTGCTTAGCTTGCTGTGAAGTCAATGTTTTTAAAGTTTACGCATTCTTGCATTTAGTCCAAATAGATGTATTGTGTTCATTTACAAACCCTTTTACGTTCTGTATGTGATAATTATTTCTGGAAATACTGCTTAACAAAAACCCTTCTACTTATCACAATAGGACCCTAAACTCTAGTATTTCTGACAGCCTGATTTACAGACCTGCTTCTGAATGTTTTGACTTTGTGTAGCATTACTTTCGGTAGGCATGATTCTAAAAAGGATTAAAATATTTTTTTCTTGTTTTATAATCAAAACTAACAATATGACATCAGTTTGAAATATACCAAATGACAGCCTTAAAAAAAGAAAATTGTTTATAAATACTTGAATTAGAATTTGCAGAAGGATAATACTTTTATATAATCAAACTTTATTAGCTGACAAGTATCCTAATCCTGTTTTGTTACTTAAGCAAAACTGCTGTTAATTGCAAAGGCGTTTCATGTCTTCCACTTAAGACAATTGAATTAGGGATTCTGAATTTCAGTTATGATTAGAGGTGTGCAAATACCTGTTTTCTTTTTGCTTTGTTTTGTTGTTTGTTTCTTTGGTTGTTGGTAGATAGGAGAAATAAATAAACCATCTGGGGCATGTATTCAGGTTAGCTTGCAATTAACTTTTAAACATTTAGTGAAAAACAGAAATTGAAAAAATAGCTTATTCGTCCAAGCAAATTTCTATGTTTTATTTTTATATAATTAGAATATTTTTTTTAAAGTTGAAGATGTTTTCCAACACTGACTTGGACTGAAAACAAAATTCCTTTTAATTTTTCTAAATGAATCATCTAGAGATCTCAACATTTTTATTTTAACTTCCTCATTAAGACTTGAGCTAAGCTACAATTAGTTTGTAAAAAAGTTCGCATTCCAGAATACACAACTTTATATTCAACTATTTCTTCAATAGGAATTGTGCTCAGCTCAGGCTATGTAGGTTTGTGGATATATCCTTTGATAAATACTGAAATTTTTTTACTTTAAAATAATGACTGATTTTAGTGAGTTTGTATCTGTGTCCTCTTTGAACAAGCTTATCTATGACCCATAGTTTTAAAGAGCTATCTATGCCCCTAGCTTTACAAATTAAAAAAACCAGGTTGACTGTAGTGTATCTAATGAACTAAACCAGAATAGTACAGAGATTACTCTGCATATTTTTGTATTGTTCCTTAATTGGCTAAATCCATTCATCTTAGAATATGACAGATTAATGTGAAATATATGAATAACAGAATTTTGTTTAATATTTTTGACCAATATTCCCACATGTTAATATTGAAAATATAAGTAACTAAGGAGCATGTAAAACCGTATAGTTGTGATTTTTCACCCAGTTAAGATTAATTTTATGATAGTAAATTAATTAAAGCAAACTACGAACTTGCTTGAGAGTTTAAGTACTTCATCATGTGCTTAAAGTGAAGCTCATACTTCAGCACTTCACTGACACCAGGACACTGACTTCTAGGCAAAAGCATATTAATATAAACTCAGTTGGATCCCTCAATTTTTACTGATGTTGGATACGTACTTTTCATTTTTGTCTGTGTCGTGGTTTAGCCCAAGCCAGCAGCTAAGCACCACACAGCCGCTCGCTCACTCCCCCTACCCGGATGGGATTGGGGAGAGAATCAGAGGAGTGAGAGTGAGAAACATTCCTGGGTTGAGATAAGAACAGTTTAATAATTGAAATAAAGTAAAATAGTAATGATAATAATAACAATATAATAATGATAATAATAATAACAATATACAAAGCAAGTGATGCACAATGCAATTGCTCACCACCTGCCAACTGATGCCCAGCCAGTTCTTGAGCAGCGATCCCTCCCCCCCAGCCAACTCCCCCCAGTTTCTATACTGAGCATGA